AAATACACAGACGTCAGGGTGCGGATAGCAAGGGGGCAATGTGCATGTAGCTTGTGCGCGTCCATCGAAATCGCCAAAACGATGGACATCGCCAATACCGGCGAGTCACAAGATGTATGGCAATGTAGCAGTAGTAGTAATATACATGACGAATTCGCATATATACATGCATGAACAAAAGATCCCCGTCCCGTCCGCCGATCCCCACACTCTGGCCTTGTACAGGCATGTTTCTTTGTTTCCCCGTCGTGTCTTGCCTTGTATTGTCTTGGCTCTGGGTCTCAATGGTCTGTCTGCCTCAAAATCGCCTCTCCCGTCTACCGTTTCAGCCGTGGAGGATACGGTCGCCATCGCCATCGCCACCCCCATTACTTGGGGTCGTAATATACGGAGTCGGGACAGGTGCTTTTGGACCCGTCCGGTGCTGAGGCGACAAACTTGCCATCTTGCAAAGAGCCCTGGACGTTGAAGTGATACCAGACCTGATTCAACGTCTTGCCCTCGCAGCCCAGGGTCACGTCTGCGCCGTGCTGCTGGGAGAGCGCTGACTGGATGTCCTCCAGGGCATAAGATTTTGAGCCGTCAGGGGTGATGCCGGCATCAGCCAGCCACTGGTAGGTAGGCAGCGTCTTGAACAACGACACGGTCCTAGAGAAGAAATCGGCAGCTTCCTCGGTGGGGACGTAGTCATCGTAGCAGCCGGGATCCAGCGTGGTGATACAAGTGCCATGTTTACCCCATTCGTGCTCCCAGAAAGATTCGTCATTGCCTTGGTAGTCCTTCCAGTAGGTCTGCATGTAGTGGAGGGTGTCATCGGCACCCATGGCAGTCAAAATGTCAGTGATGTTGGAATATGCCCGGCTGGCATCGCACGTCTGGGGAAATGAACCATCGCAATTGTCCGGCCAGAGCCCATGGATGGTCCAGGAATCTAGCAAGCACCATTAAGCATTCATCCCCACTTTGGGAGGTAATATTGAGTTGCATCGTGCTAGGCTACAGGAAACTACTTACCAGCAGGGCCGGTGGAGGGGTCGGTATCCCAGAATTGAGTCTGAAGCAGCTGACCAGATGGGATGAAGCAGCAAGTGTCGTCGACGGCGGTAGTGTTGTGGCATGAGAGTGGAGTGTTGCTGGCACAAATCCTAGAGGCTGCGGCTGCAACGGAAGCCAGCATGCTCGTAGCCAAAAGAGCAATGGACTTGTGAGAAGGCATTTTGACTGCGGTTCCTCGGAAAAGAGCCCCGGCTTCTGCCACGACGAGTTGCTTTTTTGTCCCTTTTTTTCTCGCCTCTCTGGTTCCCTAATTACTCTCTCTGCCTGATGAGTTTCGTATCTGATAGACTTGACAAGCAAAACAACGACGTTGGCGAGTCCTATTTAACATTGAAATGCTCCAAAGATCAGCAAGTATACATTTACAGCAGAGAAGCGCTGAGGCGATCATTGGACGGGGCTTGTGACGAAAATGGTAGGTGTCATGATTTTTGTCAATCATTGGCGGATGATCGGAAGATCTACCAGGGTAGGTGCCGATTCACATGCAAGCGGTAGACGAAAGAGGCGATTCCGCAAAGGAGAGACTCACTTTGATATAGGTTAATCCGGCAGATGTAGGTTGACTCAATATTGTAGGTCAATATAGAGAGAGTAAAAAACGGAGAGTGCTTCTCACGAGCTTTATAATGTCCAGTATAGATTGATAGACATCATGCTAATGTTTTAGCAATTTGTAGTCTCGCTCGATTCGCAAGGAAAGCACCATGAAGAGCTGGTGATTGGAATCGTCTTTGCCAGAGCACGACGAGCAATTGGCTTCTTGCCCGTCCTAGTGAAACAAACTCTAGCCATGGGCATTTCATGCACCGACTTTGAGTCTCGTCAATGGCCAAAATCCTGTGACGTAGCGCCCGGAAGAAGCTCCCATTTCAGAAGGTTAATTGGCAGCATATAATGAGATCTGCGGATCGGCTGCGTGTTGTTAGAAAAAGCGTCGCTTGATCTCCCTCTAGCGGTCCAAAGTCGGCAGCTGCGCGGACTCATTCGCTGGCTGCGCGCCGAGGCATTTCAACGGGATGCGGCCAATTGCAATGCATGATAGCAGCAGAGTTTCAGCCCATCTGGCTGTTCTGAAGTCGGCGCATTCACATTGGCAGTCGTTGAAATTGACCGTGTTTCACGGTGGATAAGGTGGGGGTTTTTCGATAGTTGAGGCGCACCGCAACATGGTGTCATGTGGGAGGAAATCCTGGAGCAGAGCAGGCCATGGAAGTTGTGTGTGTGATGTGATGGATGGGCTGACGGTTTCTCCAGCTCCGACGATTTTCAGCGGCCAATTCAATTCACGCTAGGGCGGTTGTGAAGCGAGCTATCCGGAGTTTTTGAGATGTGAAAGATGACGGGAAATAAATGCCAGTAGCCGATCTGTAGCAACGTGATTGCGGAGATGCTTATACTTGGCTAAGTCTCGAGCTCAAGGTTGACGATAGGTAGGTCGGCCGTAGAGAAGCAAACAAGCAGCAGCAGAAGTAAAGAGCACGGATTCTTCATGTGGTTGGAGCAAGGACGCATTGGACAGCCAACAAACAACACTGATGTCACGTGTTGCATATCATATTGCCATCTGGCATGTTCTAATTCAGGCAACACGACGTCTTGACAGTCCCGAGTAACTCGTACGAGTATCACCAGCATCTTCCATCCGGCTTCTATTGGAGTTGTATTGGGTCGTTGGGTACAAGCACATCACATCAGATAACCTCAGCTCAGGGTTGCAACACAGCGCTGCGGGATATATTACATAACCAATTTGCTAGGTTAATTCTCCGTCCGTTTCTCAACGGACCCTCGCAACCGTTTCCACCTCAGACTTACACCAACGCCGGCTCGCTACCATTCAGCGCTTGTTCCCCAGCAAAACTAAGCTAGAACGGCAGAATGGGAGCAGGGATCTCAACAGCGAGGCCAGGCCCAAAGCAGAGTTTTGATGAGTTTTAGCACTCGGGCTTTGGTAGCATCGCGTGTGCTAAATCTCCCCTCTCCAACTCCAAAGTCGGGGTTGTTGAAAAAATAAATTGCGTTGCGGCGATACACCCTCAACACCTTTCGGGACCTGATTCAATGTTTCCTGCAGGCGGGCCAGCGGCATCACACTTGGACACAACGTCATCGGGAAAAAAGACGACAGATGATGCTACCTTGGCCGCCGACGGAGACTTGTACACATGGAGGAGGTCTGAATGCATCAACTCCCCAACCCAGTAAGAGCTGCGTGATGACAAGCAAGAGGAATCGCCTAGTAGTTTCAGTAGTTGATGTTCTGTTTAGTCGACTCTAGGATTAATAGACTATAGGGTAATATAGCTAGTTGAGGGTTAGTTTTCAACTTATAACTTGATCACTTGATGCCGAACCGGTCATGATGAAGAGGAGGTGGCGGCGGCGGAGGAAGAGGAGACAGAGGAGAAGTGTCAGAACTTGTCATTGTGTAATACAAACAACTACCCTGGAACTCGATACGAAGACTCGGACAATAACACGAGGTTTGTACAGTACGAGAAGTCGTATTACTGTTAGATACTCCTACCACTACTAATACTCCTAAATTATATGGGCTCTGCTCGTATGCTATCAAGGTACAGTATGAAGCAGGTACGTACTCGGCAGCGTGTAAGCGCGATCAGTCGCCCCCCCTGACCCGCGAATACCGGTGACGATAACCGCCACCGCATCACTGCCACGACTGAAATTAAGACGGGCAGTTAAGATTGGCAAAGAGGGTGCTGTCGATGCCGCCGTGAACACGCAGATACCTCGCAGGGGACCCTGTCCATGCCTGTCCATGCCCTCCTCCGCGCGGTACTCGATACATGACGATGCCCACCTCCCCCGGACTTACACAGACTTCACACACAAGCCTTTTCGGAGGCTCACGATCCCCCCCAGACCCGCGTACCTCGTAACCAAACGGCTTCCCGCAAGGCACCGGACGGCCCAAAAGTCACTGCCACACCATGCAAATAGCGCCGAAATGGGACGCTGGGCTTTTGCCCCTGTTTTCAAGCTCGAGCGAGACCTGCATGTGGCCAGCGGTACTCGGGCCGAACCCCGGAGTTTTGCAGCCAGTGACAAGGCCCCCGACAAAGGCCAAGTCCACCAGCTATTGATCCGCTGCCTATAATGAATTGAGCCTGGAGGGTTGAGTTTATGCATCAAACAAACCCAACGATGCGACGATGCTACGGCCGAGCAGCCTTTATATTGTCCCAATGCGACCCTGATTTCTGTTTCCCCATGCTGTTCCTACCCCTAGCCTTGTCGAAGTGCGAGATCTGTCAAAAAGCTGTCACTCCGGAGTATATTTCGTACATCCATCTCCAGGTTTTCCCCATTTCCCCATTTCCCCGTTTCCCCGCCATATGTTCAAAACCCGGTTCACGCCCTGCTTCCTCAGGTAACAAACGAACGGGATATCGTCCGATGTTGCGGAAACAGGCCCAGAGCGTGAAATAGAAACGCCGACGAGGCAGAATTTTTCTGCCAAATCTTACCTGTATCATGTAACTCGTATCATGACAATTTGCCGTTCCAGCCCAATTGAAACCAAACCATCCAGCTTGGCTTCCTTTTCTTTTTCTCCAGGTCCCAAAACGCCACCGCGGGGAAGACGAACCTGGATCGACAAGGAACAAAAGCCCGGCATCCCGAAAAAGGGAACGCACAAACAACCTTCATGGGCCGACTCCAGCTTTTGGAGAACCATCGGCAGCTCCTCCGTTACGTCGCTCGTAAGGACAGGAGAATCGGTCATCTAGCGGACCAAAAGAAAACATCTTTTGGGAAGTTCAACTTGTTTCGTATTTTTGCAAAAAAGAGTCCATCGACATGGTTCTAGACTTGGGCTTTCCCGGCAATTGGCAAAAGGTTAAAGTCAGAAAACAGGCTTAAAACTCCGATTACAAACCAAGGCAGTTGAAAGTGTCCTGATCATCCCGACGAAGATGGAGATGTGATATTATTAAACTTGTTAACCCGACAATTGATACTCCGTAGAGCTCGCGCCCTTCCCTCCCACACGGAGGAGAGGAGAGGAGAAGTGAGGAGGAGGAGAAGCAGCGAGAGGGAGATCGTCACTCCCAGAGCTGAAAACCCAATTGAAGCTAATCTACAAAGTACTTTGGGGATCAGGCCATGCAATATCGTGAAGTGGTCCATTGGCAATTAAGGGTAAGTCAATGGTCTGCTCATCCCAAGCTGAAGATGAAAAACGCTCATTCTCACAATCACCCCATTTTCTTTTGTCGTTGCAATTGTTGATGCCGGCTCTATCCGCATGGCAGACAAACAAACAAGCAAGCAAGCAAACAAAGAAGGACAGAGGAAGACGAGAGAGAGAGAGACGACATGGAAAGTTGTGTGGGTGTGCTAATTGACGAGATACTAACCAATTGCCTCTTCTCATAGTCACTCAATCGACCAGCATCCTCCCTTGGTCCGTCCCCAGACGCAGCGAAACCCCACGAACGGCCGAATGAATATTCAAGGACAAACCGTGACGCTCAAGCTGGAGCTAGACCTGAAGCTCAATGGCAATGCAATGGCAACGGCATTGACAATTCTCCCCCTCTCTCTCCCCTTGTTGCGCACGAGTCCATGTGCTTGCTTGCTTGCACCGCTACTGTACGGGCAGACATAACTCCGGCGGGCATGTGGCCATCTCACAAACAAGATTTATCTCCTGCGCCTGCGGCCGACTGGGGGTGTGTGTGAGTCTCTTCCAAGTTCCCCCTGTCCGTGGCCCGTCCTGCTTGCTTGTGAGGGGACGCGGACGCCCCCATAATCTCACCTCTCTTGGGAACGACTCTAATCCACGCCAATCTTTTGCTTGCAGCTCGACAAGCCGTTTGGGCATGCTCATGCCTCTTAGACCCACGACGAACGATGTGCTTCTGTTGTTTTGCGGAGAACCATCTCCATCTCCACGGCTCGGCGGCAAAAAGAGACAATCAACTGTCCCATTGTCCCCAGGTAGGCTGAACACACGGGCATGAATTATGACATGTAACCCAAGCGAATCTTCGGCTGCTTGCTTCTAACCCGCCCGTTTGACCAGGTTTCTCCCTGTCTGTTGCCCCATGGGCCGTCTTTTTTAGCCTGCTGGAGCCCGTTGCTCCGCTTCTTTTCGCAAGGCATGGCAATACTAATACTAGCTCTGCCTGGGGAACCTCTTTTGGCTTCCTCGACGAAAAGCTCAGCGACTTCGGCCCATGGCAATGGCTTCTCAATTTCCCTCTGGTTTTATAAGATAAGCAAGAGGCCCAACGAGCAGCGGTTTTAGCACTGGGCCACCGTTTTTGACTCTGTTTTGCGGTATGTCATCTTACAAGCCCTTTTAATCTCAATGGCCCCCTTGTCCAGAAAAAAAAAGTCCGTCATCGTTCTCGCTGCTCTGTCCAGACACGGTACTGTAAGTTGCAAGGGTGGGGAGTACACATCCGCAGAGACGCCACGAAAAAAAAAACACCAAAGAAGCGAGCCAATTCCCTCTTCTCCTCCCCTTCTACCCGTTCCCGTTCCCGTCCATTCGAAAGAGAGAAACAAATTGAGGGGAAGAAGACAACAAACACCCCCCGAAGCCGAGAGAGAGAAAAAAGAGACGAATGACCTACTGACCCCATTCTCTCCAGGCCCAGACAGGCAAAACGGTCCCTCCCCTGCCTGTTCACGTGTGACTCGGAATGGCCCGCTTCAAACGAGAAAAAGACACCTCCCTCCTTTCCACTAGCAGTACGACGGCGTGGACACACATTGCGGCGGTCCAAATTTACCCCAACATCGCAAGAACCCTTTCCCCCCGGGCCTGCTTCGGCGTCTGGAACCGAGACCGATATTAGAAGAGACCAAGTGACGATGAGAATTACATACAAGGGGCCGAAAAAAAAAAGAGGGGAGAGAGAGAAGGGCGGCAAGCCAGCCGAAAAGACGGCGTCACGTCAGACATTTCGCTTCGTTTTATTTCTATTCTAAACGAACAGCGAGAGAGAAAAACGTTGCGTTTGTCTGTTTTCCGCTTGGCGTCCTTTCTTCTTCTCTCTTTTTTAAGGGCCAGGGGACGATGACGAAATTGAAGACAAAAAACAAAGGCGAGCTAAGGAAGGGGGCGAGCGAAGCGGGCGCATCAAGATCGATAAAGTGAGTCCTTTTTTTTCTTCTTTTTCCTTACAAGGATTGTTGCGATGCCCCCTGTCTAGATGGGCCGGATCGTCCATTGTCCAAAATCAAAAGACAAAACGACGAGATAAAACGACACAGACGACGTGAATTGAAGAGGTAAGGCCAATTGTACTTGTTTTTGGGTCGCGCTCATTTGCGTATTATCTCAAACTGTAGAAATTCTCTCTCTTTGACTCCCCCAATTGAGCGAGCACGTAATCTAGTTGGCCAATTCTACTTTCTTCCTCGCAATTCGTGTCTCATCATGTCATTCCAAGTCTCGGTGACATGCTCATACACGACGCCATCTCTTTTAGTGCCCCCGTAGTAGATTCGTAGAAAGGGGAATCAATGCTTTAGACTACATCTGCTACGTGTAAGATAACGGCACTACTTTCTCCGCCGCTGTCAGCTAAAACGTTACATGGACCGCAAAAGGCCAGCATTGCGACAAAAAAACAGGGTATCCAGAGTTTTTACATGGCTTGGTCCTACAAACTACCACTAATTCACCCAAAATGAAATCATAATCATAATCATACGGGTACGCCTTGATGTATTTCCCCATTTCCTGCTAAAAAGAGCTCGCAAACCAAATACAAGGACAAACCACAAAGTATGTAACCATTACTTTTTGGTAAATTAATGCAGAAAGAGAGGGAACAAGAAAATCCCGAATTCTCTACTCCAGCCCAGATGGTAACCATGCATTGAGCGTCGTCAAAGACTCGGTAAGTGAGTCAAAGGAGCTCAAATCCGGATTCTCAACCCCTACACCATCTCCCCGACCATTATTAAACAGAAAGATTTGGTTTGTAGGTCCTGCCTGCTGCCTCATATCCCAGCTTCCGAAGCTTTGGTGTAGCCGCGCCGAGTCGCTCAACAGCCACTCGCGACTGTCCATGTTGCCTAGGTTTGAAGTCTGGGCTTGGGGTTGGTGATGGCCCATGTCCGACGAGATGTGGCTCTGGGCTGCCGGTGACTGCGAGTTCAACGGAATCCCTAGTTGCTGCGACCATCCCAGTATATCTTGCAAATCCATTTGCGTGGCATCCATCCCCATACCTCGCTGATCCGGAAGAGGGTTATTGTTGCCCAGGGACATGGGTGAGTCCATCGTCAGCCGCTCCTCGATAGACGTCTGTACGGCCGGCTGAGCTATAGGCTCTGAAGTTGGGTGCCTCGTAAGCCCATACTCGAGCCTGGGAGCTTGCACTGCCCCTTCCTCTGAGGTCACAGGCGAAATAGGAACCAGGTTGCTCGATCCTGGAGAGGGAACTTCAGACGTGCTGTAGTACTCGAATCTCTCATCTGTTCGTTTGAGGATTATGTCGGCATCTTCTGGTAATTCGCATTTCCATTTTCTTGCCAAGACACTGAGAATGCTTAGCGTCCGTCTCGCGCAGAGCCAATCCTCGGCAATCTCTTCCAGATGCCTTAGACCATGGGTCAGATCCCGCTTCGCCGTCTTTTCAGGCAAATTGAGCAGATGAACCGTACATGCGCTGTGTATCATGTAAACTGCAATGTTGCATATCTGTCGGAGGTTCCAAGACTTTTTATATAGTCTCATCAGCTTTGAAATCGCACCGGCATTTGCAGTGCATATTCGCCTTGGTGATATATGTGATGGCAGAGGTGATGCGGCTGGGGCGTATTTTAAGAAAGGTCTAAAGAGATGAATGTATTGGAGGTGGAAGAATGAGCTAACGGAGAATCAAGTCAGCGCTTCCCATATTCTCTTCGTGGTTTTATTTGTAAACAGAACGGGCAAACTTACAGCATCAATATCACGTTTGGCAGCAAGCCTTCTTTTGGTTCAAACTCCTTGGGCAGGTTCTTCCGCCATTCCTCAAGCCGTTGGTGGAGCTCGCCGAGCTTCTTCAGCTCGAGAGATTTGCTGCTGGCCCTCTTTATGTGGCTTGGGTGGTAGAAGAAGACGAGTATGTCGTTGCTGATTTCACATAGCTTGGACAAATGCAGAGCAACCGCTCGTGTCCTCGAAGGCTGAGCAAGAGACTCGTCGAACCCTTTATCTGTAAAAGGCGCCCACAGCGCCGCATCTTCGTCAGGGAAGACGTCAATTTTGGAAACGGTAAAGGAGTTCCTTGGGAGCTGTGGCAGCCGGCCCAGGTAGTTGGACCAGGTCTTGTCGAATAGGAAACACCCCCAGAAGGTGATGCGCCGGGCATCTATTTCCTCCTCCGACATGTGCTCCTTATCTAAGCCCTCGACTTCAAGGTTGAGGCCGATGTCGAGAGCCATTCGGAAGCTCATGCCGCTATATACCCAGCCCTTGGCCTCTCTTGCACAGCCCGCTTCTCTCACAGACATGAGTGCCAACGCCTGGACGGTTACAAGCCGCGGCTTCTCATATTCGTCATTATCGACGATGAGTCGCTTGGCCTCGGCAAAGAAATGGTCTCCTTTAGTCCTGCTGTCGCCGGGGATGCCAAAAGCGCCTGGGATATCGGTGAAGTGGCAGCCGAGCGCCAACATTGCGTTTACTAATAGCGAAGAACAGTATGCCGTGCCTGGTGCCAAGCCCGCCTTGCCCCTCATGAAGTCGCGCCAAAATAGCTTGCGTGAGAGTGTGGTGAAGTATGGGTAGTGATAATTAAAGTACATGTTCATAAGGTGCATGATGAGGCGTGGATCGGTGGTCACTCGGGTCCATGACGTGATGGGGTTTTCGCAAATGCCGGGCTCAGAAGGTGAATCGTAATCGATGCCATCGTGGTGAGGGTCTCCTAGATAGATGAGATGAGAGGTGCCGCCAATGAAGCGCACTGAGCCATTTTCGAGCCGCAGCTCTCCCATCTTGCCAGCGAGCTCTTGTTCTCCTGAGACGGGCAAGAAAGCCATGGATGCTTCGTCCAAATTCTCGTCAAATTCTTCTTCCTTGGGTTCCGCTTCGCCCATTTCTAAGAGCTCCTGGGCTACTGCGTCGAGATTGTCGCATGTTCGGATCTTGTTTACGACGTCTGGCACCTCTTCTTCGGTGGCATTCAAAATGGCCTCGACAATGATTTGCAGCGTCGAGCTCTGGGCTTTCATACTGTCGACCTTTTCTCGATATACTCCCTTGCGGCGGTGATCCGAGTTGGGGTTGTAGATACACTCAGTGCCATAGACGCTGGAGCAAGCGGCGCAGCTGGGCAGCTGGCCATCGCATTTCGACTTGCGCCGCCTACAAGCGACGCAGGCGGTGCTGATGCATCTTCGCTTTCGGTTGTTCGGGTCAGTTCCTCGACGAGACTTTTTCTTGGCCTGGGCAGCGGGCGTCGAGCCGGCCGAGGAAGAGGCGGCAGTCAGGTCCATGCCCTCCATGGCGGGCGAGGAATAGGGTTACGCTATGGCTAGAGAGTCGAGATGCGAATTGTGTTGTGTAAGGTGGAATCGTCAAACCGAGCGCTAGCATTGAAGGTGCCGGCGCGCGGCGTCACATTGACTCTGAGGTGAGTCTGCAGGGATGAAATGCAGGGTGGAATGGCTCCGGAACGAATGTCTTGGATAAATCGCCCGTGGCTGGTGATTCAGCCGGAAGATGTCGTGATGAGGAGTCGCCCAGCCTTTCAAGTCTCTGGGTAAAGGTCTGGTCGATGGCCCTCTAGTGATTTGTCATGATACGCCCTGCAGCTACGATGTTGAATCAATTCAGCAGTCGGTTGCTGGTTTCGGCGCTTCCGGAGGTCGGGAGGCTGTCCGCAGAGGAATGCGGGGAGACTCCAGATCAGATTGACTCTGCGCAACGGGTGAGACGGCGGCGCAGCAGGGGAGGAGCTTCTTATACGCAATGGCGAAAATCGCGCTCAATTTGAGGGTGTGACTATGGGGATGGAGCAAAAGGAAAGAGGAGGAAAAGGTCGGCAAGGGTGTGATGACGAGAGTTGAGTTGAGGTTCCAGGAGCGTGACTGACTGACGACATGCGCCTCGAGAATTAACGGCCTTCCTTTGCTCCATACGGGGCTCAGGCCGCCTCAATGCTCTAGAAGCCTTGCGCAGCTCCAGCTTCCACAACATAAGCCAATCCGGCATTAGACATTGGTGCTTTGTCAGAGCCTTTCCTCATGCCGTGCCCGGGCGGCTCGCCGTAACTCTAGTGGCGAGTTCCGCTAGGTCGGAATGCGGCCGCTGGATCGGCAGAACGGGGTTTTAAGGCTGGAGCGGCTTCTGGAGGCTCGCCCTCTTTTGCCTGATTTAGACCCTCAACTTTCTGCAGGTCTCACGGGAGGGCAAAACCACTCAATCGTACTTTGTATTGTTTAAGCTATATATATCATCTGACCTCTGGTGACAGGTATATGATCCAACGTAATAAAGTGGTTACATACCGAGCCCAGCAAAACCACTCACTACTCGGGACATCATGGACGGTTGTCGGTGTGCCGGCATCCATTTATTCCGAATTCCTGTTTTTCTCTCCCGTAATAACAAACGTAAAAAGTGGACGAATCCAGGGCCTCGACCAGAACTCGGGATTGGCCAAAACAAGTCAGAGGGATTAAAAGAAAAAAAATTGATGGACTGATGCAAAGTAGCACGATTATAAAGCAGGGTCTCGTTCTTTCCCCATATTTCGACGCGGAGAATTTAATGCCATCGGCCAGCGAGTAACCGAAGCGAGCGAGGCAGGCGAAACCGAGTACGGCCTTGCCGGAATTGTACTACAAACTACAGCTTTGGTGCCCCGTTGGGACTAGCGATGAGGACCTTTTGCGATATTCTTGAGTTTTTAAAGATGATTTTCAAGGTTAATATTTAAATGGCTATCCATTGACCGCTTACGGAGAAGAGGAAGCACATGTGAGCAACGATGGACGGATGGTGTGTGAAATATTATAGGCGCTATGAATTACGCGCTTGTATCATAGTTAACATGGAACACAAATAGCGCAAGACAGAGAGGTGAATCAATGCCGAAAAGAGAGATTCAAGTTGCCAAAGGCCTTAATTGGAGGGATAAAACTAACAAGGCGCCCAATAAAAGACCATAGTCTGTATTTGCCAGGAGAGAAAATGAGGCTTTCGTAGTGTTTTACCTATTTGAAACACGCACAATCGGTGTTCTAGCGCGCCTCTGTGACAATTGCCTAGTTTGTTTAAACACTCCGCTATGCGAGTGTAAGAGCATAGAGTTAGCAACTTCTGTTAATAGCTTGCTCATGTGACGACGCATTTGTAGCTCGGCAGCTGCCGGGCCAATGGCAAATTTGCCTCGCTAATGGCAAATTTGCCTCGCTGTCTGTTGTTGGTAAATCTCCTCGGGCTTTGAGTTCTGACAAGAGTGTTCATAGCTGCCATGGTGAATAAGCCAATCGATTAATAATACCTTCCTGATGACCCATCACGTTCTTCGCCTCAGGTACTAGGCATTGATCGAGAAAGCATTCACAATCGGGGCTCAGATCTATTCAAACTCTCATATCATAGTTCCTTTGTATATACTATTACATTGTCGAAGTCTGGGAGGAAATCCAACCCAGCCTCAACTTTTTATCATCATACATAGCCTACATGGACTGTAATCTTTCTCCTTTTCGCACTCTTTCGCAGGGTTATACATCATATACACGCCACGCCACCCTTCCCAAGCAATTCTAAACGCCCTCTCCTTAACCTCGCTCAAGGTACCAGTTATGGGTAAGTTGACTAGTCAAGTAGCTGAAAGGCGTCGGCACCTCGGCCATGCCCTTTCGAGCGACCGGGTGTCGCAAGTAGACGGCAGCGCAAATGCTGGGGTTGACTTCGAGGTAACGGGGGATAAAGGCAAACGCCGACATGTAGGGTCGGGGCCTCCATGGGGTGGCGTATGGTTTCGAGTCGTCAACAGGATTCTCTTCGTCCATTTGAAGCAGCCGGGCGAGCTTTCTCATCTCCTCTTTGGATAGCTTAGCATCGCCAATGATCTTCTTGGCCTTGGTCTTTTGCTCATCTGATAGGCCCTCCAGACCCTTCTCAACCTCTCGTTCTCTGTTGACTGCTGGTTGCGCTTCAGCCTCCTTTGAGGTGGCTTCGATAGCCTCGGCCTCGGCCCCATCCTCGACCTGGCTTTGGGCCTGACCCTCTTTCAGGTCAAGCTTCTCAAAGCTCTCTCGCATCAGTTCGTGGCTCTTCATCTGTAATTGCAACTCGTCAATTAGTTCCACAACATCCGCCTCGCTCTTCTCAGGGTGTGAGAGGAAGCGCTTGGCATCTGCACGGAAGAGACGGAGCTGCTTCTTCTCCTTGGCACTGAGCTCCTTGGGGTTGTTCTTCAAAATCTTCTTGACATCCTTCAACAGAAACTTCAAGGCCCTGTTGTTCAACTTCCATTGGGCCTCGGGAGTCAATGATCCGGCGTCTTCGCTTGCGGCGGCCTCACCCTCGGCAGCCTCAGCATCAGCTTCGGGCTTCTCGCCTTCAGTCTCCCCCTCAGCAGCGGCCTGCTCAGCCGTAGCATTACCGCCCAGCTTCTTCACTGCGTTTTGCAATGCTTTATCCGCCTTCTTTTGTCTTGCCTCAAGGTTCTCGTGAAGTCGCTTGTGCGCATCTGCTGCCTTCTGCACGCCCGTGCCGTACATGACCTTTTCAATGTCTACCTGAAACATGTCGCCGGGGTTCAGCTGGTAAGAGGGGTGAACCATCTGCGTAATTACGTCAGTATAAGTGATCCAACTACGCATACCGTAGATATAGCTGTAACAAACCTTTTTTCCATTGACAGTGACGGCTCCGTGGATGACAAACTGGCGTGCTTGACGGACACTGCTGGCGAACAGAGCCCGAAAGACTGCGGTGTCCAGCCTCCTCTCCAAAGGCGCAAATGTCATCTGCATGTAAGGCGTCATATTGTTGAATTGATCTGACAGCAGCTTGTTCACATCGCCAAAGAGCGGTCTCCTCCTTGAGCGTTCCTGGGTGCTGAGTGCGGGAACCTTGGAGAATGTCTCGGCCGTAACGTTTGACGTTGTCAGGCCGGAACCACGACCGGCAGCCTGCTCGGAACCATCATGCGCCGCCAAATACTCCGGTGGCATGTCTACAGCAGAGAGGAGTCTGCGGGAGAAGAGCCGCACCCATTTCTTCTCGGGGATATGCTCTCCGTGATACGATCGAGTCTTGGCCTTGGCCGCCCATTTCTGCTGGAAGAAGGTAGGAGTGCCTCGAATTTGGGGTTCTCGGCCTGTCTGGCGGTACAGGTTATACAGGTTGTACTTGTTCCATGATTGTCGCAGTTTCTGTAGGGTTTTCAACATCAGTAACCAGGATCCCCGCCATCACACGAGCTCAATCGCCGTGCCGTTGCCCATGACTCTGGCAGTACAGCCATTGACAAGGTATCTCTAGACTTACAGGACGGGCTAAACTGTAGAAACGGTACGGCTTTCTCATCTTGGCGAGCCGACCGGTGACAATTGCGGCTTGACAAGATCACTGAGGCCGTTATTTAGAGCTCGATATGTTGGGTGTCATTTTTTCTGGTGGTGCCACGCAGCCGACATTCTGCCGAACGGTGTGACGCTCCCGCACCGGCTCACCGAGGCCACCGAGCAGCCACCGAAAGCGGGGCCACTCAACGCGTCCCAGCCCACTTCCCTTGATGAGACGCGTCGAGAGTTTTCTACGTATAACAGAGTGTTGTAAATTGTAAGCCAATCACTCACTATACCTGCATAGGATTTGGCTGACGACATTCTCGAATTCTTTTCTTCATTTTGTGTATATTTTGAGCGCCTTTTATTTTCCTCGACATTAAAGACAATAACCTCATCAAAATGCTGTCTGCATCTTCACCAATTACCTTTCCGAGCGACCCCCCGTCTCCTCCAGCAAAACGCGCCAAACCTCACGATATTCAATATCCTACACAGAAGCCTCGTGTCACCGGGCCGTTTGTTGACTCCGACTCTGAATCAGACACTGAGAATAGACCTAGAGCAAGCTCCAGATCTCCTTCCAAGAGGCGCAAAGTAGAGGTTCAACATGAGCAGAGGCCACAGATCCCCGTACTCGGTGCTCGAGATGCGAATGGAGATGGCAGAAACAACGTCCTCCCCGTGGAGCTCTCAGAAGGCAACCACACAACAGCTGATACAATTCTCACCGAACATACACAGAACACTGCGGCACAGACAGGACCTCGCTGGTCCCAACCAAACTCACTACTTACTGCGCCAATCTTTGGAAGCCGGTCAAAAACTACTTACAAGCTAAGGACATGCGGTGGTAGTGAGGTTACGATTAGAGAGCGCAAGGAGGTTGTTGCGCTGTCTTACGAATCTATGGTAGCGGCCAGGTCGAAAACCAAGGAAGGGCGGGCGAAACGAGACTACTATGGCGTCGATAT